TCGACTGTGCTTACACAAGAAGAGCGTGAAACTTTCTTTAATGATGTTCGAAAGATATACCACAGAATTGCACAATATTTCAAATTAAATTTACCATTAAAAAATCAATTTTTACGTGATATACAAATTTTGCATCATTCTTTGAAAGGGGTACAAAATACCGATCAAATTATTCGTGTTGCACGTGCTGTTCCACATTTATTAACAGAACGTGAAATTGATCATTTACGTGATGAATGGTTAACTTATTCGATTGAAACTATTGATGAAAAATGGATAATAAAAAGTGTAGTTAAAGATTCAACTGGTAATGGAGTACCAGTTTTCGATGATACCAATTCGAATCTGTTTGTTGTTCAATTGTTTCTCGTTTAACTTGAAATCTAGATCTAAAAGATCACCACCAGATTTACCAACAACATAATCAGATCTCAAGAATTGCAACAAAACTAAATGGAATAATTCAGATAATTCATGATGAAGAAGGTGAATAAGCGGTCCCTCCTGCTGAAACCAAGTTAAAAAGCGATCAAAAATATTTTCACACAAGAACAGTACAAATTGTAATCGAATCTTAGCTACATTTGATGTTAAATTTGACTTAATTTTATCATATTTATCGTTTTTGTATATCTGTGCTTTCTGAGCAATTGGCAAAAAATTTAAGAAGTATTCGTTTAAAGGTTCCCATAAGACTAGAAATAACCGAATATAATATTTTAATACAAAAGTGAAAGACAAGAAATTGTTGATAAACCTACTTAACACACGTGCAATAACTTTACCAAGAAGAATCCAACGTGTGATTGTGAAATACAGCAATGTTTTTTCAACTAAATAGATTATGTATGATTAGAAAAAACTTTAACTTGTTCGGTTTTCCATGGCTAGAATCATGTTTAAGTACATGTGCCGAACAAGCCACTACCATATCGAAAAAAAAACAATTAATTGGCTTAAAAATATATGCCCTATGTAAATGAGATTGGATATATGAATAAGCGGATTTTAATGAAAAAAGTAAGACAAAAAAATAAATAAATAAATATAAGAATAAATAGAATGAAATATAATATATGACATAATAATGCCAGTTTTGTAATGGAATATTGTTTAGAGAATATGTGCGACAAATGTGCAATTAAATCTTATCTTATATAGCTCCTTCAGATGTAACAAAAATTATCGAAATATTCATAGAAATAATATTTTATTTTATAATTGATAGAATATTTTCTATTATATCGGCGGCAGACATACTCTCGTTTTCTCTTCATTTCTTTAGATTAAACATTTTTTTTTATTATTTATCAAGCCTTTATATTAATTACTATGTCAATATCGTCTTCCTTTGAAATGTATTAGTCTCTTTAAAATTAAACCGTAGTCATATATTCACCTTTATTTACGTAGGAAATATTTTTCAATTATTCACTATCTGGTTTAATAATGATGTGCTTTTAAGCCAATTATTTTTTTGTTGTGATAATGCACTTCTTCTGCACATGATATACCTCAGTATATTTATTAATTTTCAATAATTTTTAGAATACTAGCAATGATAGTGATTCGCTAAATCGTGCTGTTTGTTCTCATGCTGATTTAAAAACAGAGATCCGTGATCTTCGTGAAGCGAATGATCAATTAAATGGCAATTTAGCACTTGAATGCAAACGAAATGATCAATTGGCCGCATTCTTAACTGCTGAACATCTCAGTATTGCAGCTCAATTAGTAACGTGTGGCCCATAAAGAATGGCGGTGTCAGTACTTCGTGAATATCTCCCTCAATTTTCATTGTCCAGGCTTCAACCTTTATTTAAATGACGCGCCATTCAATTCTCTACAAAGCTGTATGAAAAGAAACTCTTTCGATGAATAGCTGAGAAATCATATCCTGTCAACACTACGGTGCTCTAAAGAGACCCACTTTCAAATGCGCTTTT